AATGCCACTTTCAAGTAGCCTATAGAAAAGGACCTCATGCCAGATGAAATCAAAGGCTTTTTGGAAGTCAACAAAACAGACATATACCTTTCTTTTCTTAATGTTTAATTCTTGATCAGTTAGTCTGGGGGGTAAATATATGGTCTGTTGTGCGGCAATTTGGCATTTATGCAGAATATTGTGCTTATCAACAAAGTTGACAAGTCGTTTATTAATGAGATTGATGATGAATGTTTTTCCCAGGTCACTGGATACACATTCCTCTGTAGTTATTTGGGTCATATTTATCTCCAGATTTATGAATTAGGGTTATTAAACCTTTGTTCCAGATGTCTGGAAAAGTATTGAATAGTTGAATAGTAGTATAGCCAATCTGATTTTATGGTTTGAGTATTTGATCACTTCGTTGAGGATTCCATCAATACCGCAAGCCTTTTTCCTTTCAGGGACTGGATGACTTCTGTTAATTCTTGTTCTGTTACAGGGTAATCTAGAGGGTTTTGGTTGTTTTTTTATCACCGCCTCCAGAGTTTTTCATTTCGTGAATATCTTGTACTGATCATTTTTTTTTTTTGTAATATTACTAAAGTGATTAATCCAAGTATTTCCATCTTGGATTGCCAAATCATCCTGCTGGGTTTTTTTAGGTTGTTCCATTTCTCCCAGAACTGGTTGGACTCTAAGGATTCCTCATTTCACAGAGCTGGTTCTTGCTGTGTTTATTCTTAGTTTTTAGGGTGTACTTGTATTGTTTCAGAGTGGCCTCATATTGACAGCGTATGCTGTGGTTCCCCCTTCGAGGGAACTCAAACGGCATCGGTTACAACACCATGGGAACGCATAGTCGTAAGCAACGCAGTGTCTCGTTCCCCTTCTCGGGGAACCAGAGTTACATACGTAACCCGAGATGTTATGTCGGTCCCTATGCTTTTCATTTGATGATTTCCATAAAGTTTTCCTTAGGTTTTTGCATTCAGTGTCAATCCGTTGGTTTTTTGGTTTGGAGGCTTTCAAATTAGACAATGAAGCCAAATGATGAAATATTGAATTGATTTTGTACACAGCAGAATTTACACCAGAATTATTCTGGGGAAATGTTTCAGTTAGAAATGAGTTCAATCATGTATGTTTTGATTTTCCAGTGCCTTTGGTACACCCCCATGCTGTCTGGGGTCCATGGTATATGTGCTGTTAAACAGTTCACAGGCAGTAGGGGTCCCAGACTTAGACTGAGCCCTTTTCAGATTGTGATTTTGCTGTGGTCTGTGAGGGGGCTGACTGTGAAAGCTCTGAGAGACATTGGATCTAGATCTGTAATGAAATAATCTACCGTATTATTGCCAAGAGCTGAGCTGTAAGTGTAGCGACCCAGAGAGTCCCCTCGTAGCCTGCCGTTGACTATGTACAGACCCAGCATACGGCAGAGCTGTAAAAGCTGCATACCGCTTGTATTAAGCTTGTCAAAGCTTTTTCTAGCAGGACATTCAGGGAGGGGGAAGCAGGTGTTTCCAGTTAAGTGTTTGTCTCCCTGGGTGTTCAGTGTCAGCTCTTTCTCCTGTTCGAGCGTTCAAGTCTCCACAGAGTAATACATTTCCCATGGTTTTATAATGGTTAACTTCCTCAAGAATAGAGGAAATATATGGGCTGTAGTAGAGGGATTCTGATGGAGGTATATAGATGGCACACATGTAGACTCTCATCTTTTGCTCAGCACAAATCATCTGTTAATTTTCAACCATATTTAAGAGTCTTCTTTTTTTAATAACTGTGATGGACTGGCTCAGTTCTGATTTACACCATATAATCAGGCCTCCTGAATCTCTGCCTTGGGTTATTGTGGGATTTTTTGTTGATGGTATAATCTCAGTGTAGCTGTGAGGACGACCAGTGGAAACATCTTCTCTGCACCATGTCTCCTGTAAAACTATGTCAGAGTCTTTTAACTCTCTATTAAAATCTGGATTTCTGCTCTTTAAACCAAAAGCTGATGATCTCAGACCTTGAATGTTCCAACATGTTATTGTAAACGATTTCATCTCCAAGTATGATCTGGTCACAAATTAGACAAACACCTTAAAAAAAACAAATAATAGTAAACTAGATATTAAAAAATATTAGCAAACCATGTAGCTATATGAGGCGAGAGCAGCGCAGGTTTAGCATGTGTAATATGTCTTTTAGTTCACCAGAGGGGGTGGGGCTGTGGCTCTTCTCACCGCTGCGGCATAGTTCAGTCCAATAGGCTGCTGCTCCTGTAGTCTTGGTTCTGCCGTTGGGATGAGGGGGGGTATAGGACCTCCAGGCTGGGGGGCTTTCTGGCTGGGTATCAAATGGCCAGTGTTGTGTTGGTTGTGGGTTGCGATGTTGGTGATGTGGTGGGTTTGGTGGCCTGGCCGTCCTCTCTGATGGCCGGGGGTGGATGTATGGTGGAGGTCTGGATGGTCTTGGAGGTCTGCGTGGGGTCTGTGTTGTGTGGTTACCCCTTGGAGTGGTGGTAGGGCTCCTTCCAAGAGCAACATCCTTCAGGGTCCTAGCAAGGGTGGGGACTGCATTTCTGTGTAGGTGTATGTTATCATACAGGCAGTCCAGGTGCAGGGTCGGGTGGTGGGCCAAGAACACGTTGGGTTTGAGGGCACAGTCCCTGGAGAGTCTGATATTCACTCTGTGAATAGTGTGGGGGTGGAAGTCTCTCCTGTGCAGCTGCGTGGATATGACTATCTTGCTGGTAGGGAAATTGGTGGAGGCTTGCTCAATGACTCTCCTCAGAGTCTGCCAGTCTGTCCTGCTGGGACCTTAAGTCCTTGGTGCCTGTATGGATGATGATGTGGCTAGGTGAGCCTAGCTCAGGCACTGTTAACAGCTCCAGGGCTCTCCTGGTGTTGGGGCACCAGATTTTCTCCGTTCTGTGCCTTGGGAATAAGGTCTTTTCATCCAGGAACTTCCCATTAGAGTCCACGAGGAGGATAATGTCAGCCCTTCTGCCTGTGTGTTTGTTCAGACTCAGCTGTCGGGTCTGGATGTGGAGCTGTGGTGGTGGTTTGAGGTCTGGAGCTCCTAGCTGGAGGCTGGCTAGAGGCCGGGCCTTGGACAGGTGCAGGGGTGTGACTGGCGTCTTGGCTTGGGATGTTTGTATGGAGGCAGCTGATTGGTACAGGGGGGATTAGAGTCTGCACCAGGCTGTGTGAGAGGGGGGGGTCCTCGAGGAAAGGGCTGTGTTGTCCTTCAGCAGGTGTAGTGAGAGTTTGGCTGGATGTGGTCTGGATCTGAGAGGCGGGCACAGGGGGTTGTGTGGAGTTCAGTCTGGCTTGTAGACTGAGCCTGTCCCTGTCCTGTAGCTCTTCTCTGAGTAGCCAACTCAGTTCTGCAGTTGTCTCTGTCCTGAGAGGATCAGTGTCAGCATCTGCAGGCTGTCTGTCTGGAGCAGGGACAGAACAGGACGGTTTGACTCCCAGGGTTGGAGCGATGCTTGCGAGGACATTCTTTCTCCTTCTCAGCTCTCAGTCTCATAGCAGGAAACTCGAGCTCAAACTGTCTCAGGTCGCCTTGTATCATGGTAGTTCCATTTTTGAACAGGTTTACTGTTATTCTGCTGGTGTCAGAGTAATTTTCTTCCAGTACACTTATTTTCCATCCATTACAAATGCCTGCTCTCTTTATTGCTGGGTAATGAGAGCTGAACACATTCAGCCAGGCACATGGTTCATCCGTCCAGAAGATTAAATTGCAGGATCTTCCATCTTTGTAGTCGTCCAGGAACAGGATTTCTGGTCTTTCTCAAAGTAATGTATGTTTATATTTTCCCTGTGCATTGAGATACGAAAGTTAATTGTGCTGACTGTACAGCTCAGACACACACTGACTGCCAAGCAATCAAACTCAATAACGAACAAGAAGAAACAAACAACATGGAAACAGATAACGGAGGCAATTAACGATTGCTCTGACTCCGGCTGCCTTCGGACAGAAAGCGATGTGAGGAAAAAGTGGAGAGACCTCCTGAGCAAAGCAAAAAAAGATTTGTCTTCAAAAAAACACCACCTGACTGGCGGGGGTCCTCCCCCAAAAACTTCCGTGTACAGTATCATAATTGTGGATATCTTTGGAGAGGATTCCCCGGCTTTTATTGGTTTGGTTGGTGCGGAAAGTGGCGGTACCGACCTGGAAGAAACTGCTGTCTCTCCAGAGATGGATGTCGACCACTCAAGCGAGAGTGTGAATTGTGAAGGTGTGTAGCCTATATATTAGAGTAGCCTACAATAACAGTTTTAGTAGTTGTCAGATAACAGTAGGCCTATGAAAGATTCTCTGTATTTTCAGACTCGATGGAGGCCCAAGTCACTCCACAAAATTCTCATTAAGGCAGCAGCGGTGCACCGCAGGTGAAACGGAGGAGGATCTGCAGCAGACTTGTTTCTTTCTTTCTTGAGAAAGAAATTGTTAGAGTGGAGAGAATTTTACCTTGAGGACTCCAATGCACCGCTCAACGAGGGACCTAGTGGTGGTGTGGATGGTGTTATACCGTCGTTCTTGCTCAGTCCTCGGAGCAATTATAGGCGTCATCACCCAGCGTTTCAGTGGGTATCCACTGTCGCTGAGAAGCAGCCCATTTACTCTTCCAGCCTCGAAATCCTGGTATAACGCACTCTCTCGGAGGATGCGTGCGTCATGGGTAGATCCAGGCAATCTTGCCACCAAATTAAAGATGTTATAATTGGCGTCACAAGTAATCTGCACATTGATTGAATGGTATCCCTTGCGGTTGACATACAGATACTCATGCTCAGATGGAGTCCCATCGATGCAGCTCACAATACCAGGAATGCCAGAGGCCCGGAGGAAACAGCGTTTCATCACCGCAGACTCGGCCTCAGTGGGGAGGTGAGCAGATCACGGAAAGCGATGGCTCAGTGCCAGTGACACTCTGCAGATGGCCCGACATGCGGTGGATTTGTGGACATTAATCATGTCTCCAACAGTGTTTTGAAACGCACCATTTGCATAAAAACGTAGCGCTATTAACAGCTGTAATGCGGGTGTCAATGCTGCGTTGTGATCCAACACAAACTGTAAGTCGGGTAACAGCTCTTCAACAAGTTCATAAATATCTCTCCAACAGAATTGAAACCTCTGAATCAGCTCCTCATCATTGTAAATGTCCAATGGATTTCTTCTGTCCCTAATAACTCTCTCCCATCTAAAAGCCCGCTCATTGTAAAGTCTGTGTATAAGGCGCGCCATGTCTTTACGGCTGCTTTATCAAGTGGTTACCATAGAAACTTGCCTAGATTTTGACTTTACGCCTGCTACTGACTAGGCGTAAGATTTAAGCCTGGTCTTAGCGAAAAGAGGACTTAAGCCTGGATGGTGAACTACCCCTTAGTTATGCAGCTATAGGCCTAGATTGCCGGGGGACTTCCCATTATGCACTGAGCTCCTATCTTCTCCTCTCTAAATCTGTATGCAACCTCATCCCATTAGTGCATGTCATTGACTTGACTTCTTCCCTTTCCCATAGACTTGTGCTTTCTCATCCCTCTCCTCTCTCCTGTCACCTTCTGCAGGTGTTTCTGGCTCTTGAGCTGCGGAGTCTGGATCTGTGGTTGCAAGTCGCCTGTTGCCCCATGTCCTATTATTATTATCATCATTAACAATACTGTAATTATTAGGACCATCAGTCTGTACCACTACTACCTTTACTGTCTGTATTTCTGTGTGGATATTGTGTTGGCCCCTCTCCCTCCTTGGAACTCTGTGAATAATATCACAATAAGTACAGTCTAGACCTGCTCTATATGAAAATCGCATTGAACTGTTGTTGTGAATTGACGCTATGTAAAAAAGATAGATAGATATAGATATAGATATATAGATATATAAATAAATGGAATGAAAGTGCTAATTGCTGTAATCAGAACAAAGGACAATGTGTCCCCACAGCAGCTGTGGTTTCATGTCATAACTGATAATAAATTCAGTTTTAATAAATCTTGATTACTACTACTTAACATTTCAGCTGTTGTATAACAGACATGACATCTTGTGTCATACAGCCTTCAAAAGTATGATAAAGTGTTCTTTCACACTAACTGAAGACAGATAATGTCTTATCAAATTGCTACTTATATAACCTTTTTTTAACTCCTTATCAGATTCTGTAGTTAACGAACACCATTATGTCTTTCCATTCATTTTTTTTTGTTGTTCCACAAGGTGTGCGCCAACGTGCTACCATGAAATGTTTTGATGATACATTTACAACACATTTTGGATTAGTTACCTTTTGACCACAGTGTCCTGGGCAAAATTTCATTCACCTGTGTTGGTCTTATTGAGGGTAGGGCATATATCAATGAGACCTGAGGCTAGGACTAAATGCAGGACTCAAAAAGCAAATTAAATCACACCAACACAATTTGGATGAATTAGAAAAGTAAAATCATTGGAAAAGAAAAGTTGACATAAGATGAAACTGGGACTATTTTTTTTTTTTCAAAAGGAAGGAGTCCCACTGAAAACTGTTCACAATTATGCATGCGTATTATCAAGTGTAACTTGATTTTCACTTAAATTGTTGTATTAGCAGCTCTGTGAGGATATACCTACAATATAGGCACTGCAGTGCTGTGAGCTAAATGCTAACATCAACTATGTTTAACTGCCATAATGTTTACCATAGTCACCATTGTAGTATCATCATGCTAACATTAGCAAATTAGCAAAAAAGAAAAAGTATAGCTAAGGCTGATGTCATTCATTTTGCACGTATTTTGTTAAAAATCATTCAAATCAATTTTGTAGATTTCAGTCTTCTAATATTGAATTTATTGTAAAAGAAAATGTCAACTTCATAGAGGCACTAGATATTAGTACAACTTCTTAACCTGGATATGTTTAACTTTACATGTAGACAAATTAGCTAGTCGCTGATTATTTTTGCACCGTACCTATGGGTGTACTGTTAATGTACTACTTTGATGCTGGGAGGTTGTGGAGTTATAACAAGCTCCTTTTTATAAGATTTGTTGGAGATTTATTGATTTGCAGACCAAAAAGCAGTTTGCCTATAGACTACCATTATAAAAGAGAAAGGCTACCTGTAAAACTTTTACTCAAACTCAAACTGCAAAAATGTCAATTATTATTCTTTGTGTTGTGAATTTTTAATCCATGGTGGGTTTATATTTTCGTCTGTTGTGCTTGGTTGTGTCCATTTGTTATAATAAATCCATGCAGCACAAATTTCATTTTGATTCAAATGTTGCTGAATAGTGATTGATGCCTCGACAACAGAATAATTGTATGTATAAAACCTTTCATATTGTCACTGAAGTAATACCCACAACAACAGCATCTTAAAGTTTTTTGGTGTTGCATATAACTGAAGCAAATTAGTGAAACAATATGGCTACACCTGACATTCTCAATTCTCTCTCACATTATTTGCATGACTCTTACTTTTTGTTTTTTTTGAGAGTGGCAAGACAAAAGAAGTAAAGGTGAAGAAGTCCATGGCTCCTCCCATCAAACACACATACAGTACTTACAGCACCTCCTCTCTGAAAACACGTTCCACATGCATGGAGGCTGCAGCAGATATGAAAACATCTGTGACACTGATGATCATCCTGGGAGCCATCTCAGGTGAGCTTTTACCATTTCACGTTTTTTTTTTTTTTTTTGCTTCTTGTCAGAAAGAAACACTTCTAAAACACTTTAACACCCAACTCTTCTGGCATGTTATGATTATTTAGGTTATACTGTATAGGTAGTTAAATTTAAAAAGCTGAGTTACTGCTGACAATATTTTTAGTTAGTTTGTAAATGTGCAGTAGATTTGGTTTACATTTTCATAATGCTCTGTAAATATTTAAATAAGTCTTGATAGTGCCAATTTAGATATGAGGACGAGTGCACTGCTCTCATGACCATTGTTACATGATCTTTTCTCGTTAATACGACTTAGATAACATTTTTGTTTAGCCTTCATAGCTAACAGCAGATAGCAGCTGTGAGACTCAGACAGGTGCTATATATCAGTGATAGCTCTGAAGGCTGGATTTTATTTAAATTGTTTGTAAACTGATTCCATTCTCCCAGTTATCTACAGTGCATTGTCAACCAAGTTTCAGTCTCATTTATGCAAACATGTAACATGTCTCCTCCAGGTTTAAGCCACGGAGAAGGTTTGCTACCAGACAGTCTTATTGCAGCTGTTGGAGGGACTGTGATGTTTACCACAACAGTGACTCCACCAGAAACACCATTCATGGTAGTAACCTGGAGTTTTTCTGATATCACTGGTACATCTAATTTAATAACCTCGACTAGTGTAAACATAATCGGACCAGCGTATACAGACAGAGTCACCCTCTTCAGATCTACTGCATCTCTGGAGCTCAGGAATTTGGCTCTTAATGACACTGGAGAATACAAAGCCACCGTTATACCAAATGGGGGAGCACAGCAGAAAGGAAACTGCAGACTGGTCATACATGGTAGGTTGATGCATCACTGTTTCAGTGTTGAGTTAGTGTCATAGCGAAAACCTTCTCAAGATTTTGTTCCTTTAAGAGGTATTTTAAAAGTGATACTTCCACTTAACCAAAACAACCAATTGCATAGAATCAAATGTAGTGCCATCATTTTCAAACATACCTGCAGTCATGGCTTGATGAACTGTCAGAAGCCAAAATAATTTCACTTTTCAAAATCTTATAATAGTCTAGTTGGACAATGCAAATACTTGTTGTTTCCACTGATGTTTAACATCTTTAATTCTCTTAATCTGCTGAATAGGACAGGAATAATATAAATGGATATCTACCTTAAATGTAGCTGATTTGAGGTGGTTCACAGTGTGTTACTTCCAAATGATTTACAAGCAGTACGTAATGTTTTGTCAAATTTGTCAAATTATTGTAGCTAGCTAAATTTCTTCACACCTATTCCCACATTTATGACCTTGACTACCACCCACACCTGCACCTGCTGCACTTTCCTGCAGCCTTTTTCTTGTGTAATATCATCATTATCAGTTCAATTAAAACCTGATTTGGATTGACATACAGGGAGCAAGTGTTTACTAAGTCAGGCAGTTATTTTCTCATCATCAAAATATATAACATGGTAATCACTATTTTGTGACTGTTAAGTTGTGTTTGACACCAGCGTAGAAAGGTGTGTGATAGAATAAATGTAGAAAAGCCAGAGAAATTGATTTATACAATCTTTTTGCCCCAAGTGTTACCCCTAATACTTTAATTCTTTGCTTCAACCCACAGTGCCAGTCTCTAATGTAATAGTAAATGCCAACAGCACAGACTTAGTGGAGTTCAGCAGCTCTGTCCATCTGTCCTGCTCCTCCTCTGGATCCTCCCTCTCTTTCCTCTGGCTGAACGGCAGCTCTGAGGTTACAGCCAGCGACAGAGTTCAGCTCACTGATGGAGGCTCCACTCTCACTATAGTTAATGTGACCCGCTATGACCAGGGACCATTCAGGTGTCGTGTGTTCAATCCTGTCAGTAATGGCACCAGTGATCCAGTAAACCTAACCATCAGCTGTGAGTTACAAAATTTATTGCTCAGTCTTTATATGTTATTTCAAAATCAAGAGCTTAAAGTTTTCTTTGTTTGCTTTGATTTTCTGGCACCGAGCAAGTAATCACTGCAGATAGTATGATAACGATTCAGTTATGCTTTTGACTGGTACAGAACAGTTATGACCACAAGTACACTGCATGCCCTAAATACCTTTTTTTTCTCAACATTTTATTGTTAACTGTCTTGTTTTCTCTTTGCCTTCCACACACTGCAGATGGCCCAGAAAATATTAATTTGACATCTCCGTCACAAGAATACTTTGTGGAAGGATCAAACATCTGCCTGACCTGCTCAGCTGTCTCCAGACCTGCTGCCCAGTTTCAGTGGTTTCTGAATGCAGACCTGCTTTCTGATACTGGACCAGAGCTCAGACTGATGAACATTCAGACGGGTCACAGTGGTAACTACAGCTGTCGGGCCTTTAACAACAAAACTCAGAGATATCAAACATCTCAGCGTTCAGATGTAACTATACTGAGTAAGTTGAAAAAGGTCTTTAGTTTAGTTTTTTAGTAGTGATGTGCAATAAGATGGCATTTCAGTGTCAACTTGTGGCATTTGAATGTAGTATGTAATTGAATTAGTTTGCATTCTATTAATATCAAATAACGAACAGGACACAAAAATATGAAAGATGTGTGGCAACCATACACTGTGAATGAAAAGCTGGCAACATGTCATGTGTTTGCGTTGTACGGCCACTAGAGGACACTGCCACAATAAACCTCAAAATGAGTCGTAATTTTGTGTGGCTGATGGTCGTTTTTCTGTTAAGGACAGGCTCATGTGTGGTGTATGTCTTTAATTAAAAAAAAGAAGAAAAATAAACAATACAATACCTTTGAGTTTAGCATTTTAACCATTTGAACACATAGATCTCCCTTCTATTATCCCTTAAATTAGTTAAAGTTTGTAAAAACAATAAGTTCCCCACATTGTATAATATGACCATGGTTTATTCCCCCATAAAGTAGTTAGATGTCGACTAAAATCTGAGTTGTTTAATGCATAGCTTAATTTTTTTACCCCCCAATATTAAGTCTTACATATTTTAGCTCTGAGCATTTGGTTAATGTTGTGTGGATTTCAACACGGTTTGAACTCTCATGCAGCCTTGTTCTTACGAAATATCATACAACAACCTAATTTTGCAACTTTATACTAAGTCACAATTGTTTATCATGGATTCTTAGGGTTAGCAATGTTGTCAATACTTAAATTGTATAAAATTATAATTAATAAATTTTTCTTCCACAGCGCCAGTATCCACTGTAAAGGTAAATGCCAGCAGCACAGACCTAGTGGAGTTCAGCAGCTCTGTCCATCTGTCCTGCTCCTCCTCTGGATCCTCCCTCTCTTTCCTTTGGCTGAACGGCAGCTCTGAGGTTACAGCCAGCGACAGAGTTCAGCTCACTGATGGAGGCTCCACTCTCACTATAGTTAATGTGACCCGCTATGACCAGGGACCATTCAGGTGTCGTGTGTTCAATCCTGTCAGTAATGGCACCAGTGATCCAGTAAACCTGGTCATCATCTGTGAGTTACTAACTTTGATTATATATCATGTGCATTTAAATCCCAGTTTAAAATGTCCAGCTTGATTTGTCTAAGTCATGGTTCATACGTTTCTTTGTTGCTTTGTTTGTTTTTGCTGGTATTGAGTCACTGCAGTTAGGACAATAATTCTGCATTTGACTGATACAAAGCAGCTGTACATCTCTTGCCGTTTCCTCTGCATATTTTACTGGTGACCATGTGTTTTTATGTTTCTTGCCGCAGTTGGCCCAGAAAATATAAATCTGACACTATCTCCATCACAAGAATACTACGACGAAGGGTCAGACGTCAGCCTGATCTGCTCAGCTGTCTCCAGACCTGCTGCCTTGTTTCAGTGGTTCCTGAATGGAGACCAGCTCTCTGAAACTGGACCAGAACTCAGACTGATGAACATTCAGACGAGTCACAGCGGAAACTACAGCTGTTGGGCCTTTAATAACAGAACTACGGCAAATCAAACATCTCAGTCTGCAGCAGTCTCTGTTCTAAAATGTACGTTGTAGTGAATCTTCTTGTCACTAAGGGCTAAAATGGGTAGCGCTTAGACCCCTAGTGTCTACAATGTCTCTTTTAAGGTTAGAGATTGTAGAGGCTTTTCAAGAGTTTTTTGGGCTAGACATAATTCCTTAGAAACTATTCGGTTGTGTTGTTTGACACATAATTGGTGCATAACTTAATATTCTTTGCTGAAGATGATGCATTCAGTCAGATCAGTTGATCAGTTAATGACTCCTAACATTTATTGTTTTTTCTGCCCATAGCGCCAGTATCCAATGTAGTAATAACTCCCAACACCACAGATTTGTCAGAGCTCGACAGCTCTGTCCATCTGTCCTGCTCCTCCTCTGGATCCTCCCTCTCTTTCCTCTGGCTGAACGGCAGCTCTGAGGTTACAGCCAGCGACAGAGTTCAGCTCACTGATGGAGGCTCCACTCTCACTATGGTGAATGTGACCCGCTATGACCAGGGACCATTCAGGTGTCATGTGTTCAATAATTTCAGTAATTACACCAGCGATCCAGTAAAACTCTCCATCAGCTGTGAGTTACGCATTCAGTCTTTGATGTTACAGCATCTGCATGCAAATGCTAGATAGACCTTTAAATTTGTGGCTTGATTCATGATTATTACAACCATTATGTCAGGAGTGATTTTGGCTAAATTTCTTTTTATTGTGCTCCTTGCTGTTTGATTGTTGCAGTGTTAGGCTGGTAGTGAGTAAATTATAACTGTATTTAGTTTAATGATGCAGTTCGTCATTTGAGCAACATATTTAACAGTAATGGTTCCCTTCACGCTGAGCCACGCTGCATGCAACATGCAGCTTTTCTAAAGCTACTTTTCCTTTATTGGTGAACATAGTTTCATTTCTTTTCCCACAGTTGGTCCAGAAAATAGTTATTTGACAATCTCTCCATCGCAAGAATATCACAAGGAAGGATCAAACATCAGCCTAATCTGCTCAGCTGTCTCCAGACCTGCTGCCCAGTTTCAGTGGTTTCTGAATGCAGACCTGCTTTCTGATACTGGACCAGAGCTCAGACTGATGAACATTCAGACGGGTCACAGTGGTAACTACAGCTGTCGGGCCTTTAACAACAAAACTCAGAGATATCAAACATCTCAGCCTGCAGCTGTCTCTGTACTGAGTATGTTGAAATATGTTTAAGTTAAATGATTACAATACAATGGATTTAAGTTTAACATTGAATACTTGACTTGCTGCTAAGCTCTATTTTTTTAAACATTTTTACCCACAGCACCAATTTCCAGTGTGGAGGTGACTTCAAACAACACACACTTGTTAGAGTTCAGCAGCTCCGCCCATCTGTCCTGCTTTTCTTCTGGATCCTCCCTCTCTTTCCTCTGGCTGAACGGCAGCTCTGAGGTTACAGCCAGCGACAGAGTTCAGCTCACTGATGGAGGCTCCACTCTCACTATAGTAAATGTGACCCGCTATGACCAGGGACCATTCAGGTGCAATGTGTCGAATGGTGTCAGTAGTGTAATCAGCCAGCCGGTGAATCTTTTCATCCAATGTGAGTTTATGGCAAAGGGACTTGTGCAACAAACCTTAAGATGGCAATTACTCTGAGGCTCTAAATCCCAGCTATTTCAGTAGGACTGGAAAACCCTGATGCTCATAACCAATGTCCACCATTAACCCTAAGCCATGAAACCTCACAGATTCAAATTAACATTACCTATATGATCAACATTAATATTGTGCAAAAGGTTGCAAGGGCTCCAAATGCCATATATTAAATAATTGGTCACGGTGTCCTAGATATTTCTGTGACTAGCAACTTGTAAGGCTTATATTTTATATGTAAAAGTAATTATTTGTTCTCATTTCTGGATGTAACAACATTACTTATTGTCAAACATACAGTATTTAGTTCACCAAAGAACTAGGCAAAGTGTTTTTTTAATTGTACATGCTTAATTGTTCTGACCAGCTCATTAAATTGAATTGATAAAAGTATATTTTTTATTACAACAATTTTAAACTTCTTCCACAATTCCCAATCATCACCGTTTTTAACATTAGACTGCTATGGATGCTATATGGACTGTGGTTAATTACCTCGAGCAATGCACATGCACTGCCAAATTTCAGAGTGATACAGCTCTTAGCCCTCCCAATTTTAATGGAAATATGTGTAATTTGGCCTGGACTAAGCTTCCTTCAACTAACTTTGAAGCATTTGTTTGGTTGAGCTTGTGAAGGGCAAAGCAAGACCTGCATTTCCTTCCAGGCAGCTTTGCCTCTAGGTTTGTGACACTCAACCAAAACCAAAGAATTAAACCCACAATCACATGGAATCCCTCAATATAGCCAAACAAGGATAACTTCAGCAGTCTGATTCTTTGTGTTACAGATGGACCTGACAACGTGGCCATCAAAGGACCTGAATCCATACATGTTGGAGATTTGATGATGCTTTACTGCTCCACTATGACTGTACCATCAGCATCGTTTACCTGGCTTTTTAATGGAAAGCCAACCACTTTTCATGAATCTGTGTATGTCATAACATCAATCAGAAGCTCTGACAGTGGGACGTACACCTGCACTGCTGTGAATACTGCCACAGGGCAGAGTCAAACAGTGAACCATGAGTTAACCGTTATAGGTTTGTGACAAAAACTGACACAGAAAAATACTATACATCAATGAGACATTTGTTTGAAGAGCATATTTTGAATGAATCTTGTGTTTTTTCAGATTTCACATACTGTGACTGCCTAACTGCTGCTAAAAGAGCTACTTTCATAACAGCTGGATGTTGTCTTATTATTGTAGCAGTGAGTGGAACAATTGCATATAGTCTGATAAGGCGGAATAGGTAAGCATAAAACAGGTTATGATTTCCATTGAAAAAAGGTACATAATGGTATGTTATCTTGAATTGTACTAGTCTGTAAGATGATGCCACATCACCAGGAAATAATATATTATAATAATTGTGTATCATGATAATAATTTATAATACAGCGGAATTATCTAAAATAACTAGTTTATGGCAATTCACGAAAAAATACATAATTAAAACATGAGTCAGGATAATTATGTAATTAGTGGTTAATTGGTTCAATGAACCGCTATTCATGACCTTGTTTTTCATAATGACCAAAAAACTGAGAAACTGATGCACAATGTAATGCAATGCAATAGCACTGGATTATATTCCAAAATATATTATGACATATAAACATCATACCTGTGTAAAAATAAGTTTTTTTTAGATGGTAAAATTTATTATTTTTGTGTTGACTTAAATTTATAGTAACTTGAGGCTACATGTAGTTTTCTGTACATTTAAAGGTGTTTCTAAAAGTGTGTAATATATAGAGGGGCAAAATATTAGAAACCTCTTTGACACAATGATAACACAAAATAAATATTACAGCCATGAAAGTCCTCAATGCTTTAAGAAGCTAGTTCAAATATTTTTTGAATTTTGAGTAATATCTGGCTGGCCACATTTTAAGTGCCTTATTTTTATTTTTCAGAGTCAACAGCAATTACCCACCACATCAAAAAGGTTAGTGCTCATCTGACCCAAGCTCTTGGCTTGTCTTATATACACAACAACAATAGAAAGACTTGTTTCTCAACATTAAACGTGACCAATCTCTGTTTTGACCCCTTAGAAAAATTAAGCATGAAAGAGAACCATTCAGATCTGTATAAGATCTCAGTAACAGCACAGAAGGACATATCTTCCTTTCAAGGTGAGTCACACATGACTGAATGAAATGGAATAATATATTTTAAAAAGAGAGCATCCACATGTTTTTTTGAGTTCACGTTTTAGTATCGTGATCTGTACTTGCCAATGTATTGAATATGTGCCACAAACAAAAAATATTATATTTTCAATTGGAGTTTTATGTTCAGATTGGTTCAGAAATTACACATTGCTTTAGCCCAACAATTGCTGACAACATTTTGTAGGCGTGCTGTTGATCAAAACACTGAATCCTCTTTCTAATCATTTCTTTACTTTTCCTCCTGCAGCATAAATAAAATGAGGAAACACAAACACTCATAAGAAGCCTTCTGCAATTTTGAAGTTCAACAGTCTCAAAGGAAAACAGCAGTATTTTTGATTTTTAATTTATTTATTCAACCCAACCATTTTCTACCGCTTTCAGACTAGTTCACTGTGCTGAGTTTGATTTTAGATGCATTGCTGCATTGCAACATTTGTGAAACATGTAACTTGGTTGTATGATAATGATGATGGTTTTGTAAGAATTGTGTGTAAGAAATGAATACTTAAATGTATGTGCTAAAGTATTAAATTGTTATTTGTTTGAAATAATCATTAAAAATAAAGTAAAGGAACATGTCTATACAAGACTTTTGTTGTGGATATAGTATAACTGCCTCTGCCAAAAAGTGTGGCCAAATAATGAATCTCCCCAAGCAGACAAATATAACGAGCACACAGCTTGATGACAGCATGTACAGGATTGTGCTTACTTACACAATACTTTATACTTATATACTTTATAAGGTTGTATGTTATACACAAAGCAGAACTTCATACAACCTTCCTAAGGTCTCAGCAAACTAGGTTAACTACCCTCAACTGTGGGCTATTGGAGCATTTGTGAAGTGAGGTATTTTTTCCATTCAAGTCATTAAAGCCTCACCTTATCTTATTTTACAATGTGTCTAAATTTTATAGGTGTCCAAATGTTATACCATTATTACAGTGGTGAGCAATGCTTTAGAAGAATTTCAAGGTCACATTTGTACACAGTATGTTGCGCTGTGCTATATATGTACATGAAAAGTTAGAAAAGTTTCAAATTTCCCACCAAGTTCAATAAATGACCTATATGACTTACTTTGATTTGTCACAGATAATGAATCAGAATCAGAATCGGGTTTATTGCTAGGTACATTTTCACATACAAGGAATTTGCCTTGGTATGAATTGGTGCTTACAGTACACATAACATAAATAGTAGTTTAAGATACTAAGTTTGTCATACAATCCACACCCAGCTGCTCGGCTACACGTATCTGCTGACTAAACATGACAATGACAGCCTCACACAGCAGAGTTTCTAATATATTAATGGTGCCAAATTCATAAATCCATCAATCCAATCTAGCCATCTTCTACCACTTATCCAGGGTTGCAGGGCTGGACTGGGACAAAAAATCGGACCTGGCATTTTTGGCCAAGGCGGCCCACCAAAATCAGTCGGACACCCCTCACCAATACACCTTCCTTGCTTTTAAGGGCTTAGATCAGGGGTTTGACAAAAGTTAGTCCATGAGACTTGATACTGCACAATAGGACAACAAGACAACAATATATTTTAATAGGCTTAGTATTTGGGGTAAAAAATTTATTGATGAAATAGGGGGGTCTGGGGGTCCTCCCCCATAAGGTTGTAAACATTAAACACTTACTTTCCTGCATTCTGGAGACACACTTGTACCAACCCTCAAAAACTGCAACCTTGATATGCCATTTGTCAAACTGGCCCCTATAAATCATTGAGCTACATTTTAAAGATTAAATATCATAGGCCATATAAATACATTTATTATAATTTTTATAATTATTACTGAAATTTAAAAAATGATTTAAGCGGGGGGTCTGGGGGTCCTCCCCCTGAAAAATTTGGACTTTAAACACTTCATTTCCTGCATTCTGGTGAATTTTTCTGCACCAATTCATTGAGGAAATGTCTATTTACATAGAAGGAACATAGAACACAAAATTCAGGTGACAATTCAAAAAATAAAAATATAGTGTAATATAGTGTTGTAAGGCTCTCAGAAATTCTGTAATGCTGTCAAATATTTATCCTGCTTTTTATTTTATTTCATCCCTGCTGAGTAAACACACATGCAGGCATGACTTAAGTAACCTAAAGTCGTTAAATGTGTATGTTGCACCTTTTCACCTCAATGATAAATGAATTAATTTTAATTCAGTTATAAAACCGTGCACCTTAATAGCTCCTATGTTTCAGCAGCTTTTCTGCTCATGTTTAAAACTTTCTGCACATTTAAAATCCCTCCCACATATCTGTGTTCTCTGACATTTGCAGAATAACAATTTGAGATATAATATTACGAGATGTAATGTGAATGAAGTCATTATATTTTAACAAAATCTACCTGCCCCACTGCTGTGCATTACCCTGCGTTATTGCTCTGCTGATATGGTAGTAGGCTGCTACCCCCTTCAGACCGTCTGACAGACACAGAGCCCGTCTGGGACTGTACTGGATGAGACGAGCTCACTGCTCTTCATCAGAGGTAGAAAACCAAAACTGAAAACACTTGTGATCAGACAGAAATATCAGCACACAACCGCACACATGTTCACGTCAGCACCTCTAAGCTCACAACAGCTTCAGAGGGAATAAAGCATCCTGGAGCAGAGAGACAGTCAAACAGAGCAAAGTGTCTCTGAGTGAGGGGGACAGAGACAGAGAGAGAGAGAAAGAGACAGAAAGAGAGAGACAGGTGTGTCATGTTATTCTCTCACTACTTTGTGGCGACTGTTAACCGTTTGTGTAAGTAAATTGACTAGACGCTGACCGACAACATTTATATTTAAAAGTTTTGATTACAATTTTGCTCGGAACAAATTAGTAGTCGCTGACAAGCCCTGAAGCTGTGAGCAATACGCTCTCTCTCTCTCTCTCTCTCTCTCTCTCTCTCTCTCTCTCTCTCAATTCAATTCAATTCAATTCAAATTAGCATTATTGGCATGAATGTGTAACAACAATATTGCCAAAGCATCATACAAACTACATAAGAACAATCAACCCCATACATTTCATTAAACAAGTAATTAAAGCGTAAAGTAATCAAAGCGAATGTGTGTTTGTGTTAATAAAAAATATATATATATTAAAAATTAAAATAAAATAAATAAATAAAACAGTAAGCATGTGTGTGTGTTTTAAAAATATATATATTAAAAATAAAATAAATAAATAAAACAGTAAGCATGTGTGTGTGTGTTGTGTGTGTTAAATATATATATATATTAAAAATAAAATAAATAA